ACTATGCAGATTAGACTCCTAGTAATCCTCCTGTTTCATCATCCCAAGTGCTAGGATTACAGGAGCATACCACCATGCCCAGTCTCAATTTCTGTCTCAGTATGCCCAGGAGCAGGGCCAGTGCAGCGTGCTGGGGATTGAACCCCAGACTCTGTGTCTGCCTAAGCAATTGCTTTAATCTGCTGAGCTATCTGGCCAGCCCTGAAGCTGTTATATTTAAAAATAAAAAACTTAGCTATTATTATACCTGAGGAATTTACAATCTAGAGAGATGACATTTTTAAAAAAAAAATAAGGACCAAAAAATGTTTTTAGAGTTGGATTCATGGGTAAATACGTCTAAGAAGCAGGAATGATGCTGCAGGACAACTACTCAACCTTGAGATTCTCTATGGGAGTAATCCTGAAAGTCTTTTGGGAGAAAATACATATTTTTCTGGATTTATTATTTTCTTTTGTTTTATGAAAAAGTAAAGCAAGATTTCATGACAAAATGACAAGAGAATAAGAGTAGTTAGTGCACCACGTATCCTTATCTGCAAAGTAGTTTTTCACAGTATAAGACATAAAGACATTCTTACAAGAACAAGTCAATAGTAATAAAGCTAAACACAAAACTTTCTTTTAAATGCTGGATAACTGTTCTCTGAAGAATTTAAAATAGCTGGAAAAAAAATGGGGCCTTCCCCAGACAAACCCCGTAGGACTTGGGGAGGACTGGATAAGTAATGATGCAAGGTATTTCCCTGTGAAAAAGTGCAGCATGGTAAGACTTGAATCTACACATTTCTCTCCAACATACTTGAGCTTAGAAAATTACTATCATGCGGGGAGATGGCTCAGTAGAATGAGCACTTGCCTGGCAAGTATAACAACCTGAGATCAATCCCCAGTTCGAGATTAAAAAAAGAAAGAAAATTGATATCAGTGGATAAAACTTAAGGTAGATACTAGCCCAGATTAAACTAAAGATCCTTAGGGATTTCTGGTTTGCTGAGCAAGAACAGCAGGAGAGCTGTGTGAAGTGTCCAGCTCTCTGAAATCACACATGGAATGGAGAATAGAAGTGATTCTTTGGTACCTGGGGGTATTACAGTAAGGTCTAGTAGCAGCTGATCTGAAGTTAGCCTAAACTACTTTTATAAATAGCAGCATTAATTACTGTTAGGTACTGGGAACTTACCCGGATATTTCTGTGCCAATTATATACTGTACACTCCTTGTTGTTTCCTTCCAGAACTGCCTCCCCGTCTTTTATCTTTTAGGATCTGGCCTTCTTCATAAGCCCTCTCTCCACATCCTCTCACTTGGTGGAAGATAGTACCTCATTGGTATGCTGGGGACATTTTTTAATCCAAGTATAATTTTCTTTAATAACTATTTTATTTTATTTTATTCTTATATTTTGTGCAGGGTCTCCCTATGCAGCTCAGACTCATGGTGATCCTCCTGTCTCAACCTTCCCATTTCTAGCATTTCAGGTGTGCACCACCACACACAGACACAGTCACAAGCTCAGCACACCCCAGGGGCAGGGCCCATGTAGCATTTGGTGCCAGGGATTGAACCCCAGCCCTTGTGCTTGCCTAAGTAGGTGCTTAGTCTGTCGAGCTATCTCACTGGCCCCAAGTATACTTTTCAATCCAAATAACTTTCTTTTTCATTACAAAGCTTTACACTTTGCTCATCTTCTGCTACCTAGTTCAAGTAGAAATTTATTTAATGAAAACCTAAACACTATGTGTAATAGAAATAGGGATATGTGATGTTAGGAAACAGATTCTCAATTTTCCACTATGGCTGAAAGCAAAATATTCATCCATTGAACCAATGTCATCATAACTCAAAAAAGTCCCAGTCTGTCTGTACAGTTCTTGTATCACAGGGCTCACTTCGGCCTTGTTAGTCCAGGTTGGTATACATAGCCAGAAGATGAAAGCACATGTGGAAACGTACCTACAAGAGAATTGGACAAAGTCAATTATGTAGGCATATGTATGTCAATTAGTAATTGTTCACTATGTCAATTAGTAATTTTAGCTAGCGATTTCTTCTAATAGAAAATTCCATTAGAGAGGGGTTAAAAGGAACATTGATTCAATGCAGTATTCTGAAAACATTTTATTTTTAATTTGTTTCTAGGAATTATTTTGTTCCAAGTGATCTTTAAAAAATTACATGAAGAAATATTTGAATTCTATCCAATAGCAGAAATAAGCAAATAGTTGGTGAATCAGGCCATTGATCATTTCTTGCTCTGGAGGGTAATGTAATGGAAAGCATACAAAGATGGTGTTCCTTCACTTCTGTTCTTTCTCAACCTGCTCAAACTGTGGTTGTGAACAAATTTAGAAGACATTCATCAGGGTGGAGATAAAGACGGCAAGTGTGGACAATATCACTGTAATTCTTTTCAATTCAGAGTTAAATATAATGAAGCTAACTAAAGAGATAGAGCTGGAAACCTCCTTAGATAAAATAAACTCCCAGAAGATATTACACAAGCCCTAAAGTGACTGATATACTTTTCCTTTTTTGACCTTGAGATGCCAATATCTTATAACTATTCTATCAGTACAATTTTTTATGTACTTTCTGGTAACCACATGGAATAAAAAGTGAGTCATTTCAAAGAACAAATTCACGTAGTGCTTGCTTTTTCTCTATTCAAGCTAAAATGAAAACATGTCAGGCCATTTCATTTTCCGATTAAACCCCAAAATAGTAAAGTGGTAAATAAATCATCCTACACAATGAACCTCTGTCTTGTTTTCTCCAACTCAGTCAAGAAGGTTTTCAAAGGCAATTGTAGGTTAACTTACTTATAAAACTTTTTTCTACCATAATTTTTTTGAGAAACAAATAGCAATAAGACGATTTCAAATCAAACTGGTAGGACAGTTTCAATAATTAACAAATTGTATACATTCCTCCTAGTGGTTAATTGCTGTACAAGATACAGACATATCCTATTCACAAACACTATTAGAACAAATTCCTTTATTTATTAAGAGAATGTAACTATCTATTCTAACCATTTTGAATACACAGACACAAAATGGACATTCATTTGTATTCTTTTTTTTCATTTGGTTCTGTTATTTGAATATTTTAGGTGTGTTAACTCAGCAAAATATTCTAAAAGAGTCCAGTAGTCCATAATAGTATTGGGTCTTCCACTTGACTGGCAATGTCAGAAATTGTTGACCTGAGTACCCTACAGCTCAACATAACAAAATGGCTTTACTTCT